AGATGTTTTTTAAATAATCAGAGATATTATCCCAGACAATATTCTCATATTCTAAGACTGGGCGTGTAAAAGATAAATAAATAATTTCTAAATTCTACCTTTTTAATTTAAAGTCTGTATATAAATAAGAAGATGTGGTATGAGTGCCAATGAGACAACTATCCATCCAAGTCACAATGTGTAAAAAGTAAGCAATTATAGGTAAAAGTACGGCCTTCTCAACACGGAGCCTTGGCTTACACCGAACAGCAAGCTATAAAGGGCCCCAAAAAGACTAGTGTAAAACAATTCAAACAGTAAAAACTGGAAAATCTGGCATTATTAAAGCTGTTTAAGAACCTCATTGACTCTTAATTTACCAATGGGACGACATTGGGTGATGAAAAACAATAGCAACGAATATTTTAAGGACTAAAACAAATTGGCTTAATAAAAAAAATCAGCTAAGATAACAGGCTTATCATTTGTTTACAGCAGACGCGACTTTCGTCACACAAAAGAAGTATTTGTGACGCTTGAATAAAAAAAGTTAAAGGCTAAATAAAATATAAATTTGAAGAGTGTTATTTATTTCGAACAAAGTTTCGTACTGGAAATCTGAAGTCTATATCTCGAAAAGAGTACTAGTATTGCCTACGGTAAATCAATTGTATTTTGTAATTTACCATATTTCTTTACCAATATCACAGTTTATTAAAAAGCAAAAAGGTATATCGACGATATCACGTCTGCACAAGAAGGTGTCTTAGGCTTGTTATGACGAGTACTTTGAGGGACGTCTTATATCTTTTGACGCAATAAAACACCAATTAAACAATTTCCTTTCGGTTTGTTCAATTATAATTTTATTGCATCTCATTTGGAATTGTCTCGTGTACTTTCTCATTTATAAGTTAAGAGATGTTGTATGACTGTCAATGGAAAAACAATCCATAAAGAACAAAGGACTATGGTGGTAACAATAACATGAATAAGAGGAAGTCAATTATGAGCTAAATCCCAAACCGTATAATGAGAATTGTAAATAACTCAGTAGATAAAGCCTACAGCTCATGACTAAGGACAATTATATAAATAATGTGACGGAGTTAAACATGTTATTGGGCGCTAAATTTCCCCCTAACTTAGGCCATTGGCGTAAAAAAACAACGTAAGAACAATTTGCAAAACTCAGTTGGAAAAGGATTGGCTCATTTAATCAGTGATAACAACAAACAAAGTTACAGAAAGACAAACGAAACAAAGTACCGTGCTAATAAATACACTGAAGATACTGGCAGCTAGCAAAGTCCAATTTTAATTTGTAAATGAACTTAGGTCTCCGAGTTAAAATGTCAATCAGTACATCTTCAACAGAAACATGACGGATTTATTCAAATATTCCATAAGCCGTCGGCGAAATGCATTACCTTTAGCCACAATAAGCATAATATCACAATATAGACTAGCGAAAGATACAAAAAAGATATTCAAACTCATAAGTCGAAAACAAACTGACAACATTAGGGCAAAAAAAGAAAACTAAAAAGACAAACAGCAGTATACAAAACACAACATAAAAAATTAATTATATAAGGACTGAGGCACAGAAACCGCAGTCGAAAATTGACGGGATTGTGGTTACAACAATTGAAACACATTCGTCGTCATCTACTGAACAAATATTCCATTAACGGTTAACCAACACGTGATCTCATCGGAAAAAAATTTCAAATGAATGATTTCAAATTCTCTACTTGGAACTCTAGGTTAAATAGCTTCCTAGTGAGCAGAAACCCTCTATCATGTAGTAAATTCTGGTAAAACAATGCAAACTCTGGAATATCGTATCAACTGAGAGACATATACTCCATACGCAAGGGCTGTTTTAATGTTGCTATAAAGATTTGGAAAACTCACAATTGGGAAGCTGAAATCATCTCTTTTATTGTAAAGTTCAGATCTCAACCGAGCCTGGTTGTAAATTTCTAGATGTGAGTCAAGATATGGTGCAGACTTGACTGTATCTGGTGTATGTTTTATTTCAAGTTCGATTGGATAGATGCGTTCAACATAGTCACCCAACTTTGAATTAGGTAGTGAGAATACATCATCTATATAGCGCAAAGTAAAGTTAAGGAATATTGGTAGCTTTTGTTACTTCTTTTTAAGTAACTCCTGTGTAAAGTCAGCCTCATATGAACAATGTAACAAGTCGGCAAGAAGAGGAGGAAAGTTAGTTCCCATGGAAATGCCATTATGACCATAACAATACATGTTTTTTTTACGTTAGTAATCGTTTCCTTCGATTAGTTTGAGTTTGAGTTTTATAAATTTTCAAAAACGAACCTTAAAAACAAATATATTTATTTATGCTAGTAGTGTTACAATATATATTGTCTCATTAAATATACATAGATAAACAAATCATTTCCCATGAATTTTAAAATAAATAAAAATGTACAATCTTTTTTATAGTAATTAATGTGTAAGAGGGAACAGATATGAACGGACCGTGACAATAACTGATCAGATGTTCTGCCTAAAATCATATATATTCATGAAAAAAACCTAACTTCTCATTGGCAACTCTTTGAAACATCGATTCATTTGTCTTGTAAAAACTATGTGATATCAAATCAGCTTCCAAATATGAAACTGTGGTTTATAATGAATTATTTTCAAAGATTTAAAGAGCAGAAACGGACTACTTTAACAAAACTCTGGTTGCAATATGTAAATAACATTTAAAATCAAAAGCGGTATTGTAGTCTTCGTCGTGAAAACATGATGCAAAATTTATATCTTTCTTATTTGGGATAAGATAAGATTTTCTCTATGTTCTTGAACATCCAAATTGTATTTTTTCTAGGTAAGATGTATGTTCCAACGTTTTTTTAATATATTTATTGAGTGTTGTTTGAATAATGTCCACCGGCAAATATTGTCGGCATAATTGGGATGAACAAGTAGTTTGTTAAAGTATTTATTGGTAAAGTATTGCATGTTAGCTATCAATTTAAGATAGTTATTTTAAAGTTACTATCGCTGATCCTGCTGTTTTGAAATAAAAGTTCTGTCTTTCGGGGAATTAAACGCTTAATTGGATCTGAAAAGATAGCCATTTAATCATTTGCATTTTTATAGTCAAGCAGCTAAGTCCAATTTTTCATCAGAATTCTGCAAAATGTGGTAAAAGCATCAAACTTGGTATATAAGCTCCTAGCACCATTCTAAGCAAAATAAGACATGGAGCCAACCTGAAAAAAATCAATTTCCGGTTTTTTTCCAAGACGGCGGACAAAATTGCAAATATTCTAAACTAAATATCAAAGAAACCGTACACAAGGTGGTAAAACAATGAAACTTTGTATATTATCTCTTTAGACCCTTCTAAACAAATAAAGATATGAAACCAATATGAAAAACTATCAACTTCCGTTTTTTTCCAAGCATTTGCAATCGGGAAACATTTCCGTTACATTCCTATTCATGATATTGCACAATCTTTGGGTCCTCTTGAATCCCTGCTTTTACCAATATTCCACGCCTTAACAGGTTGTGACACTGTACCTTCATTTGCAGGACGAGGAAAGAAAACAGCATGGGATACATGGATTGCTTTCCCCGAGGTATCAGCTGTTTTTAGACAGATGACAGACCAACCTAGTACAATATGCCGTGATTTAATTCTACCATTGCTGGAGCGATATGTTGTTCTTTTGTACCATCGGTGAATCCAACAGTGTAAATGAAGCTAGAAAAGTACTCTTTGCACATAAAGGTAGATCAATCGAGTCTTTACCACCAACACGAGAGGCACTTTACCAACATGCCAAACGTTCTGTGTACCAAGCTGGATTGATTTGGAAACAGTGTTTGCTTTTACAGCCTGTTCTTCCATGGTTGGAAGAAGCAAGACAACGGCATGTAAGAACCCGTTCCGGACAATATTAACAGAGGAAACCTCTTTACTACAGGTACTTGTTCACTGTGGATGCAAGAAAGGTTGTCGAGGACAATACAAGGGTTTCAAATCCGCCCTTCCGAATACAGCTTTAGGCAAATGTGGTGGAGATTGTGCCTGATGGACTGCAGAGTATAGGGTTTACCGACACAAACAAGATGAATGAACGTGTTATTGCATATTACAGCTACTGTATATATATTACTTTCAATTTTACTCATCTGATATATTTTTTTTGTAAATATTGCAACGTCCTATTGACTTGTTTTATTTTTTTTTTGTTATTTCAGCCGCCATCTTGGAAAAAACCGGAAGTTGATAGTTTTTTATATTGGTTTCATATCTTTATTTGTTAAGAAGGGTCTAAAGAGATAATATATACAGTTTCATTGTTTTACCACCTTGTGTGCGGTTTCTTTGATATTTAGCTTAGAATTTTTGCAAGTTTGTCCGCCATCTTGGAAAAAACCGGAAGTTGATTTTTTTTTTAGGTTTGCTCCATATCTTATTTTGCTAAGAATGGTATTAGGAGCTTATATACCAAGTTTCATTCTTTTACCACATTGTGCAGGGTTTTTCTGATATTTCCAGGTCTATTACATGCATAGCTGTATTGGTGTTTCCAAATTGACCACAAGCCCAATGTTGTTGACATTGAACCGTTAACTGGATGCAAGTCAATCAACAAAGAACATTTAACTATTTAGAAAAAGGTATATATTTGAGTGAATGAGGAACTAATATACTAAAAGGTAAAGACTGCCACTTAAGCCTTTAATATAATTATTTGATTTTCTAAATATATAACATACACGTATCATTCTATTTCAATAAGTGTTACATATTTCGCATATTAACCTTACTAATTACTTCATGTGAGGTACAACAATTATTTGGTTTGAACTGTTAAACTGCTGTATCACAATGACATGTTATTACATTGCACTGTGCTATTTAAATTCTAGTTTTAATTCAGAATGACATGAGAAATATATCAAGATTAAGCTTACAAAAACGTTAGTCCAAGGGATAATGACATTTGTATCCTCATTTCTCTTAATAACAACAAATTATGTATAGCCAATGAGGTTGCCACTAGAAGCACTGTAGTGCAAATATCGAAAACATACGTATAAAAATGTATGAAAGAAGATTAAAAACACTAAATGTTTATATTCAATAAAAACCCTGATAAAATGAAAGATGCAAAACTCTGTTTATAATTTCATTATGGTCAAGGCAAATGTTTATTTACAGTTATCATACTTCGTGTATTTTACATAAATTAACTAAATAAGGTAAATAAATAAGGATTGGTTATTAACAGATTTAAGCCAGTGAACTATCACGTTTTACACGGTTTGATTTGTTCAGTATGGTATATGAAGTGGCTCATAAGTGAATGCACAGTTACTGTATTGTTTATCTAATCTTTGACTACAATACAATCGATTATGTCTGTGTCGTTATCGTCATCCATTTCAGACTCACTGGATGGCAGGGGATCGCCAATGACACCAAACTCGATTTCCGAATAGTCTGTTTTGTTGTCTTGCCCGTGTATATAAAACCTGTGCTCATCTGGAATGTGATTCAACTCAATTTCAATGTAATTCAATTCCGAAAGTTCCTTTAAATAAAGAAAAATATATGTATGTTTTGTAGAATAAGACTCTTTTGTAAATATATTCAGAAGTTATCAAAAAACTTAGGTTCCAACTCCTACGACACAGAAGATCTGAGATTGTTTTTGGTTGTTTTTTTGTTTTTTTTTTTAATCTCTTTTGGTCAAATAATCCTAAAGTATTTATGAATTCTAACTTTTACATTTGGTTATGAGTGTTCCCGGCGAATTTTAATCCAGGAAAGCGCTTCGATCGGACGCACCAACTTTATAAAAGTGTCAATTGATATTTAAAAGCATTCATGGCTACACAAAGACTGTTGTTGATATATGTTTGATTTTTTTAACATTACAGTGGTCGGCGTGAACCGTATGTCTATAGAACAGTGTATGCAAAGGCACCATATATATTTTATGCAGATTATCATTTCCAGGCTAATTCATTCTAAAGATTGCAATAATAGAATCTGAACGTTCAACCCATTATTTTGACTTCAGCATACTTTTCGTGCATTACCTTTTATGATATTGATATGCATTTCACTGTCGTCAAACAAGTGACAAGCATGTATTTAGAAAACATAGCGCGAAAAAAAAATCCGTGTGAATTGAAGTGTCATCGGACATTTGTTTACTCTTTTACATCATGAACATATGTTTATCATTTATTTTTCTCTGAATGCATAAGGTAGCTGTAGTTACTCTGAGACCAAATTAGTCAACATATATTGTAAAATTTTGTGCAGAACTAGTCAAAGAAAAAAAAGAAACATTAAATTGTATGAACGTGTTGATGTAGTTATACATCGTTGGCTGTCAATGTTTTTGGGTATAAACGTTACGGGTGAAGTTAAATCCAAAACTCGTGTCGCACACAACACATTTAAGGACTATTTTTATTTTGTATACATGCTATATTACCCTTGGTTCTTTTTGAATATTATTACGTTGTTTTGAAAATATAAATGTATGTTGCTAAGTTTTTTTATTTTGTCAATAATTCGTTACAAGTTATGAAGTGTTTTTGTATGTTTGTAACCTTATAAAAGGACACATTTCGCAATATACATGGGTTGATTTGTCATTTTGCAAATTTTGTGTTGATCGCAGATTTCAAATAGACTAATGCAAAAGGATATATAAGCCTTCACATATTGTTCAAACACCAGGTGATAATATTGCTGAACAAACCGTATGTTGCCCTATATGAATAGTAATAGTCTGTTGTTATTATTCTGCTCATTTGCGGTATACCACAGTCTTTCTTTTATGTATTGGCAACTAGTTATTTGCTTTGGTTTCTAATAAAGTATATAAAGTTATATAGATTTTACAACACAGACATTTGCTTGGAGGATGCATGGCACTGATTTAAATTATTACTCGATGCCTCACCTCTTTAACTGGTTGCTGGTGTAGCGGCTTCTTTTGACTTGTTATGGGTCCGCATGCAAGACCATCGGTCATCAATACTGAAATAACAATTATGAATAATATGTTATTACAATAAGTGTTGCATTATCCTTTTGAAATGATTTGAAATGTGATCATACATTTTGTTGATTTTCCTAAACATTGGTTCTTTTAAACTAAATAAATGATAATAAGCATTCACTTATCACAAATATACATTTATTCGACAACTTTTCAAACATTGTTTTGAAAGAAAAATAAACAGCATTGAACTCTAAATACCGATGTAGTGGTCTGTTAATGGCACAACTTGTATAGTTAAGCGAATCATACCTTCATCACTATTAAAATTTGAATAGACTTCTGATGCAGCGGTAGCTACTGGCACAGTTGGTTGTTGGTTTTCATTCATGTCATAAATATTATTAAACGCAACACTACCTGAAATAAATTTAAACATGCAGCAGTTAAAGATAATATTTTATGTAGTATACATGCCTTACATCAAAATAGAAATCAGCAGTGTAAAAGACTACAAAGACGATAAAAGACGACTTTCGAATTCGTGCATTTTCCCGTAAATTTTCTATATCACAGTGCATGCAATGCTTATATTATTATGTCACAGTAAGAACTGATTGTTCGATGACGTCGTTTACCCCGATTGACCTCGGTTCAAACAGTGTAACACATTTATAAAAAAAAAATCCGAGATTGGTGTATATAGGTTACAAAACAACGACAACCTCAAATAGGTAATAAACAAGGTCCGGTTAATGAAGTTTAAACATTAAGTTCAAATTTAATTCAAAAAAAAAAGATTAAAAAAAATCAATAAAAAATGCAGTATGTCATAGTTAATGTGAAAATGATCAACACAATGACGTCTATTTAGACACGATTTTTTTTATTTTATTCCTTAAAGAAAATTTTTCAATAATTTTATCGTCAGAGTATATCGTCCCTTTAGTCTTTGTTGGCATAAAAAAGCATTGATATAATCATTTACTGTAAATTAACAGTTTGAAAAATTATAAATTATTGATTGATTGATTGATTAATTGATTGATTGGTGTACGCTTAACGTCGCCTCAGTACAAAAGAACTATATTGCGCGATTGAATTATTGTGAAACCCTGAGCTCCTTCTATCACAAGGCATATACCATTGTATACAGCGTTAGTCGTATCTGGAACATTTTTTGGAATTTTTGGTTTCAATACTCTTCAACTCCGTATTTCATTTGGCTGTCCGAGTATTTTTATTCGAGCGCCACTGGTCAGTCGAAGCGCTCGTTTGGCGAACCAAGTAAGCCTGATGATGAGTGTTTATCGTTTATTAAATCTTACAACAATTAAGGAAAGTACTAAGCAAAACCTTGTTAATAAGTCTGTTTTATCAAAAAACATATTTCCATCTATCCCTAAATAAAATTAAGTCTAATGTAATATCGTATTTGTCCATTTGAACTTGAGTTGTACTTCCTCCATGCCGAATGAAATAGGTAAGACCTGCTGGACTTTCTTTATAAGTAAAGATCGTGAAACACCATACCTTCCTCTTGTCTTGTATTACTGTTTTCACTGTAAATTAATACGAACAACTTTTCAAATTACTTTATTTTGATAATTTAGATGACTTCTATTGTGTATTAACATTGACTATAAATGATATTTTACAAGTTTCAGCATGTTTTATGTGATTGTAAGGGTGAACTCTTACAACTTAAAAAAAAAACAAGTTCTTTTTAAAGGAGCATTAACTTCCCTACAGTTTGATTTCAAACAATCTTATATTTCGGTTGTTTTGATAATTACTTATTGAACATATTTACCAGTTTCGATTTCAATTCCGTTTAATGCATTCACGTGCATACAAATGACTTACATGTACTCCGTTGGATTGTAGTACTTAATATATGTTTTGAAAATATCATTACCTGCGTTCAAGTCTTCTTTTGAGATTGCCTGAATATTAAAAGAATTCAATTATTAGTTATGTGTCAATCCTGACTTTCAAAAGATTAATCCGTTACGTTACAAAACGCGCTTTTGTTATGTTGCATTCGAATCTTTATACTCTGTTTCCATTCAATGGAAAATCTATTCATTTAAGATAGAATGGCATAATCATGACAACTTTGAAATATGATAAATGGCTTCGCCTATTCGTTTGTTGGTGTTTCATGCCACTTTTGTCGCACTTGGTAATATCATGATGGCTAGTTTTTTTAGTGATAGATAATGCCCAGCTACTCGGTCGCATATTGGTAGATGCATTAACTAATATTTATCAATATTTGACAGTGCCTTTAAGCAAAGCAATTTAAAAAACGTTATTACATGTACAAACTGTTATTTTATATGTGTGGTCATAGGTGTCTGTATGTCAAGCAATATCTAAATAGTAAGGGAAGGATAATATCATCAGTTAAGTGAAGATTCCTATTTATTCTGAGAATACAATCACCTGATTTGTACATAAGGTACACCACTGAAGCAAATGTGATCAAGAACAGTACAATTCCAACTGTGATGTAGACGGGTAGGTCTGAAACTTTGCTGATGGAATCTTCACCTATATTGATTTGACAGAAAGATGCATTTATACATGGAATTTTTCATTGATTTAACACACATATATATTGGCTTACGCGGAATTTAGTAAAAAAACGACTTCTCTCTTCCTGCTGAAATTCATAGATATAATTCAAAAGTCAAGAGCTGAGAGCTCTCACGTTTAATGGCGTTTGTGTTTAGTTTCTCAAGTATTTGGTTTTCTGTGTAGTGTTTTGTTATCGACGAATGTCTTTTATTTCGTTTTGCGCGTTATATTGATTTACACTTAGTGTAATCAGATTTTATTTATTTAAATTCAAGTTAGATAAGTAAACAATTTGCCATGAACATATCAATTCATTAGAATAATTAAGAGGTTCCGGAAACAAGTTGTTACAGATATTAGCCCACATCCGTTTCCATTTGATATTTTCTCTGTTTTTTTTTTTGTTGTTTTTTTTTTCAATAGCTCAGACATGCCATATAACAAAACTTAATGCATTTAATCAATTATAATTTTGTCGTTTATTTAAGATTATATACAAATTGTCACGTTCTATTCTGCTGATTATGTATAAACGTATATCGTTTCGGTTTGACAACATATATCAGTGTTGATTTACCATTTAAAGAACGGTCAACCAACTCGTGATGGCGTCCGTAAAATTTACGAAGGGATGATTTCAATTTCAGCACTTGGAACTCTTGGTTTAATAGCTTCCTTGTGAGCAGCAACCCTCTATCAAGGAAATCATGATAGAAAAAACAAGCCCTGGAATATCGTATCAACTGAGAGATATATACTCCGTATGCAGGCGCTGCTGGAATGTTGCTTCATAGAAATGGAAAGTTCACAATTGGAAAGCTGAAAGTATCTCTTTGTCGTAAAGTTTTGTTTTCAACCGACCCTCGTTGCCAATTTCTAGAGGTACGTCAAGATATGAAGTAGACTTAACTGTATCTGTTGCATCCTTTATATCAAGTTTGATGGGATAGATCCGTTCATTAAGTCGTGATATGACATTTCTACTTTACTGAATACATTTGAAGATTTTGATGAATGACTGAATGAACAGTTTCTTGTGGGCAACATGTGAATACAATTGCAACTTAGGAATATAAACCAGTCATTTGTACGTTCTCATTTTGTTTGTTAATAATTGTATTAGAGAGGCGAAAGATACCACAGGAATGTTAGTGTGGAAAAGAATTGGTTACTTTTAACATAAGTTGATATAAAGTTAAGGAGATGTGGAATTATTGCCATTGAAACAACTATTCATCAGGGACCAAATGACGTGGATGTAAGCAATTAATTGAGGGCATTTAACAAATGATGACATTTAACGTTGTTTCTTATAGTTTATTTGATGACTTAGAAAAGTCCGTTTCTATCAATCAGGTGTTCATTATGCCGTTCATTTAAAGATGATTTCTTGCTAACAGATTTCATACATAGCAAGCCATAATTTTTTCAAAACAATATACTAAACACAACAATAAACAACAAATAATTTTTCAGGACAATTTTCAATTTACTGAATTATAACAAAGGGCGTACTCTCAGGAACAGTATGGTGATGGTGAAAATTAAAATAATCTATATTGAAGATGAGTTTAGTTCTCAACCGACCCATATTGTCAGGTTTAGATGTGTGGCAAGATATGAAGCAGATTTAACTGCATATGTGGTATTCTCACTTATAAATTCATAGTTCGGTCACCGTAAAATATGATTGTGTATTGTAAGTATGTGCATTCTTTATAGTAGTAACTTAAAATGTTAAAATAATATTCTTTACTAAATTATTGACACATGGTTACTGTTCATGTGTTGTCGCATTTATTCGAATTATGGCTTTTGTTTGCCCAGATACCATTTTTCCCTCATTTTGTTCATTAAAATATCGGATATGAAGGATAAAAAATTTCTCTAAATACGGATTGTTAAATGTTTGTTTTTCTTTTAATTTTACCAATTTTGCGAATGCATTATATTAGACATAGCATATTGGTATTCTGTATTTCGTAAACCAACGTTAAATCTTACAGCAATTAATTTCTTTAAGTTGGAAGGTGAAACAGCTTTTTCCTTTTTCATTTTCTGCCTGGATTGTATAGTTTGTAAAATATTCGTCTGAATCTATCACTGATATACTAAACGTAGCCACATAAGCTAGCACATTAACAGTATTGTTGTGAAAAGTATCTGTTACTCTTTTCTTTTCACCAAATGTTATATTGAAGTGATCCTTCCCGAGTTGCGGTTGTACATAATTTATCCTGCTGACTTCTGGTATACTATAAATGTAGAACTCAATGTTGATTGAATCTCTATATTTTCTATAATGTGTTTTCTTATTTTGTCGCAGAAAAACTGGACGTCCTAATAAAAGTAAATAAAATTAGTTAGAAATAACTGGTATATATCTATTCATCGATACTCTCTTTTATGTACCAATTCGAATAAATAAAGTTGGCACTTTATAGACATTATAAACGAAGAACAATATATCAATACAAAACCAAAAAGTTTATGACATAAAACGGTAGAAAAATATAGACTAAGCGACACGAAACACACCAAAAATCGGGGATGATCTTAAGTTCCCGGATCATGCTCCACAGGTGACACCCGCCCTTATACTCCTGTAAAATAAGTTAAACCAAGTGATTAGGTATCACGTAATAGTGGATTGGTAATTGACTCTTATCTAGCCCTAAGACATCACCAAATTCATAAACCAACGCTGATGAAAATGTTGTGTTTAAGTACATAGTGTTTATAACTATGTACATTGTCGAAAATTCCTAAGTATGTTTCATGTTTGTATGCTCGTCATAAATGCAGGGGTGTATGTGATTAATAAATTATTGGACAAAAAACAGAGACCAACGACGATATGACTTTTCTGATTCTCTAAACTCCTATGTGTAGGGGTCAGTGCATTGATGGTACATTTTCTGCATTATACAAAATGTCCTTAACAAAAATATTGAAATGTTAAAACAAAAACGTCACAAGGAGTTTAATTTCTGTATAGCTTCCTCGACTATTTCTAAATTAAATAATGGCCTTTATTCACATCTAGTAAGGGAGTACCCAACACTTTGATTAAATAGATTTGGCTCGTTTAATTTTCATAAACTTTTGACAAAATATTTACTTTGACCTCTTTATAATAATATAAAAAATTTAAGAAATTTGAAACACAGAATTTCAGGAATAACCTCATTGGACATATAGCAGTTTGACAAATACTTATGTTGATTATTGAAAAGCTTGATTTCTCGTCTAAAAGTATGTGATTAAAACGTTCAGCTGTTTTTAAAGAGTAACTCCCTTCTGTACCCCCTTAATTGCATTATTTTTTTTTCAGGTCTGTTGCGTTTTTACCATATTTATAATTTTTTAAATTGATTTGAATTAATTTTACTACTAAGAATTATAATAGGTTGCGAATGGAAACATTGATACTGTAAGTAGATTGAGGTCTTTCGTAATAAATCTGAAGAGGATGGCATGTAATTTTTTAAAGTTTAATTCTTCTTATTTTTCAATTTGTAGTCAAATGTTTATAATTAATTTAAGCTAGTATGTTTATGAACCATAATTCTGTTAAAAAAGAGGCATTAATGTATCATTCAATCAAAGTTTTGTCCTTCACAAGAGTTTTTGTACCTTTAATTGTTATATTTCTTTTACCTTGATATTAACTGTAGATTTTGATTAACTGAGTATCCTGCCATAAATTACTAATTATGGTGTTAATGTTTTAGGTGTTCAATGAACAATTCAGAAGTAATTATATAAAAAATGACAACTTCCTATAGTTTTTTTTTTCCTCTTTTTATTTTTGTTAAACCCTGATTATAAACGTAAGCAACATATAACAATTATTTATTTTGATTTTTTCATTTCTAAAGCAGACATTGCGTTCGACTTTTTTAGAAATGTTATCGAAATAGCAAACTTCTTGTTGAATTATTCTCAACAACAGACAAATTTCGGCACTACGTTTTCAAAGAATAAGTACTTGTAAAAACGAATACAAACCTGTTGTCTGGATAAATATCTCTGCAGTTTGAACCGATTCATTCATTTCACCAATAACAGAAACTTTGTTACCAACGAAACATCTATAAGATCCGCTGTCCTCATGTCTACGTTCTCTGTTTACGATGTAAGGTAACATCAATGTTCCATTGTCATATCCAGTGAAGTTCCGAATATGTTCACCATTATACGAATGTTCCCATTTAAAGTATCTATTAGAACTAGGATTTCCGTCAGCAATACACTCCATAGTCCTGATAGGTTCATTATCGCTGTAGTTTTTTCCGGTAATAAATACTTTCGATGAACCTTGAAAATAAAACATGATGTATCAATGTAGCAAGAGAAACCCTACTCATTCAACATTAAACGTGTTAGAAAAAGTTGGTGTTGTTTATTAGATTAGATAAAATGTGTTCATGTTAATTTTATATCCTCACTGAGGCAAACGTATATGAGATACTTTTTCTTCGTACTTTGTTTGGCCTTTTTAACTTTTTTTATTCGAGCGTCACTGTAGATGAAAGGCGCTTCTAGCGAACACAGTTTTCAGCCTGGTATCTATATGAGTCTATGTTATGTTTTGCAGACAAAATCTGACCTTGTTGGTTATATCATCATTTTAAAACGTGGCATTATGCAAGACTTTCCACTTTCGAATTAAAACTTGTGTATAATTACTTTTAGGTGTTTATCATAATATTAAACATTTTATATATAATGACAAATGTTATTGGGTATATAATACATTATCCCATGACATGCAATAATTCGGTCAATTCTCATTTAAATGCACAGAAGGACGAATAACCTTAACAATTTGCACAAGCGAAAAATAACTGTTTGGTTCACCGGTGAAGAACCTTTTGAGCTTCTACATTTGTACACAAGTTATCAATCATCAGAATAACGTCATTGGCGTGTGTAAACAGAATGTTATGTTCATCATTTGACGAGGAAAC